TCTAAGTCATAATCCCTTTGCCTCAATGAGTGTCCAAGACAAGATTTAACTGATACACACTCTCGTGGGGTTGCTTATTGTTTTTGTCATTTTGTTAAATGATGATTTGCTCTTTAATGAATAAAATAAAGAAAAGATCCCACATCAAAAGTGGATCTATTGTTCATTTTTTCTCCTTCCTTCCTTCCTTCCCTTTCTTCCATCCTTCCTTCCTTCTTCCTTCCTTCTCTCTCTCTTTCTCTCTCCTTGTTAGCCAGGATGGTCTCGATCTCCTGACCTCATGATCTGCCTGCCTCAGCCTCCCAAACTGGCTTTTATTCTTTTTTATAAAAAATGCTCCACATGACAGATGTCCCCCCACCCTGACTGTCCTTCCTTCCTTCCTTCCTTCCTTCCTTCCTTCCTTCCTTCCTTCCCTTTACAATTTAAACCCCATCCCAGGTAAATGTTTACTACTGTAAAAATAATCTGCTAAAACAGGATAATGAAAACATTAATCTAGACTTCACTTCTAAGGAGTTTTTTTGTTTGTTTGTTTGTTTGTTTTGTTTTTGTTTCTTTGTCAACCAGTTAACCTGAGAGCAGTAGACAAAGAATGAAAGTCAGTAGAAGAATTCTAAGTTATGTATTACCTGCTTTTGTTTTCTAATTTTGTCCATTATTTGTATCACACCTTCTCTTTGGGTCTTTGAGTAGTATGAATTCTATGGGTCTATTGGTCCTGTTGTTTTCTTTTCATGATTTCACCCTTTGTCCGCATATGTTTCACAGAAGCAGAATCTAAGTCATAACTTTTTTATTCAATGAGTGTCCAAGACAAGATTTTAACTGATACACACTCCTCGCGGGGTTGCTTTTACGTTTTTGTCATTTTGTTAAATGATGATTTGCTCTTTAATGAATAAAATAAAAGAAAAGATCCTACATCAAAAGTGGATCTATTGTTCATTTTTCTCCTTCCTTCCTTCCTTCTCTTTCCATCCTCTTCCTTCCTTCTTCTTTTCCTTCCTTCTCTTCTTTCTCTCTTCTTGTTAGCCAGGATGGTCCCGATCTCCTGACCTCATGATCTGCCTGCCTCAGCCTCCCAAACTGGCTTTTATTCTTTTTTTATAAAAATGCTCCACATGACAGATGTCCTCTTAAATTTGATCACTGGTTGTCCTTCCTTCCTTCCTTCCTTTCCTTTCTTCCTTCCTTCCTTCCCTTCTTCCTTCCTTCCTTCCTTCCTTCCTTCCTTCCTTCCTTCCTTCCTTCTTTCCCTGCCTTCCCTCCCTCCCTGCCTTCCCTGCATTCCCTCCCTCCCTCCTTCCCTTCCTTCCTTTTTTCCTTCCCTCCCTCCCTTCCCTGCCTTCCCCTCCCTTCCCTGTCTTCCCTTCTTTCCTTCCTTCCTTCCTTCCTTCCTTCCTTCCTTCCTTCCTTCCTTTTCCTTCTTCTTTTTTTTTTCTTTTTATTGAGATGGAGTCTTGCTCTGTCACCCATGCTGGAGTGCAGTGGTGCAATCTCATCTCACTGCCAACCTCTGCTGCCTGGGTTCAAGTGATTCTCGTGCCTCAGCTTCCCGAGTAGCTGGGATTACAGTGCCCGCTACCACACCTGGCTAATTTTTTTGTATTTTTAGTATAGATGGGGTTTCACCATGTTGGCCAGGCTGTTCTTCAACTCCTGACCTCAGTTGATCCGCCCACCTCGGCCTCCCAAAGTGCTGGGATTAGGTGTGAGCCACCGTGTCTGGCTTCTCTCTTCCTTTCTCCCCTCCCCTCCCTTGCCCTCCCCTCCCCTCCCTTCCTCTTCTCTCTTTCTTTCTCTCTTTCTCTCTTTCTTTCTTCGGAGTCTCGCTCAGTCGCCCAGGCTGGAGTACAGTGGCACGATCTCGGCTCACTGCAAGCCCTGACTCCCAGGTTCAAGCCTCCTGAGTAGATGGGACTACAGGCACCTGCCACCATGCCCAGCTAATTTTTTGTATTTTTAGTAGAGACGGGGTTTCTCTGTGTTAGCCAGGATGGTCTCGATCTCCTGACCTCGTGATCCGCCCGCCTCAGCCTCACAAAATGCTGGGATTACAGGCGTGAGCCACTGCGCCCGCCTGCCTGCCTTCCTGCCTGCCTTCCTTCCTTCCTTCCTTCCTTCCTTCCTTCCTTCCTTCCTCCCTCCCTTTCTCTTTCTTTCTTTCTTTCTTTTTTCTTTCTTTTTTCTTTTATTTTCTTTCTTCTTTCTTTCCTTTTTCTTTCTTCTTCTCTCTGTCTCTGTCTCTGCCTTTCCTTCTTTCCTTTCTTGTTCCCAGTTTTTCTCCCAACAGAGGATTAATTCATGAAAGTTGGAAAATACACTGATATGTCTAATATCACAAATGTTGTTAGGTTATGCTTTGAAATTTTGATATTAACAGTCCTGCGTTCCTATGTGCAATAATAGTATGCTATATTTATTTGCATTTCCATTGATTTTACAGTATAAATGATCTCAGTGAAATTAACCTAACAATTCTGAAGACATATTATTATCCCTGAGCACATTTTAGGGCTTAGGGTTTAACAATAACGTGCCCATTGTTAAGTAGCCATACCTTCCACTTTCTTTGGGTGTTTGCTTAGCATAATGGTAGGTAATGGGCATGAGTTAGGGTGGAAAGAGTAAAGGGTGGGGACAAATATCTGTCATAGGACAGATATTTGACTATCCTAATTTTATGTGTGTGTGTATAAAATCATTTCATTAAGGAAACAAACCAAACTAGGCTTTGATCAAGCTCTTGCTTGAGAACTGACTCACCTATCACAATCTCTCTCTCTCTCTCTCTCTCTCTCTCTCTCTTTCTTTCTTTCTTTCTTTCTTTCTTTCTTTCTTTCTTTCTCTTTCTTTCTTTCTTTCTTTTTCTTTCTTTTCTCTTTTATTTTCTTTCTTCTTTCTTTCCTTTTTCTTTCTTCTTCTCTCTGTCTCTGTCTCTGCCTTTCCTTCCTTCCTTTCTTCATTCCCAGTTTTTCTCCCAACAGAGGATTAGGCCAAAGAAGTTGGAAAATACACTGATATATCTAATATCACAAATGTTAGAGTTACGCTTTGAAGATTTTTGACTAATAGTCCTGCGTTCTAATAATAGCAATAGCCATTATTACTATTTATTGCATTTCCATTCGGTTACAGTATAAATGATCTCAGTAAATTAACCTAACAATTCTGTGAAAGAGATATTATTATCCCTGAACACATTTTAGGGCTTAGGGGTTTAGTAACGTGCCCATTGTTAAGTAGCCATACCTTCCCCTTTTCTTGGGCCATTTTGCTGCTCTTAGCATAATGGTAGGTAATGGGCATGAGTTAGGGGTGGAAGAGCAAAGGGTGGGGACCAAATATCTGTCATAGGACAGATATTTGACGGTCCTGTGAATTATGTGTGTGTGTATAAAAATCGTTTCATTACGGAAACAAACCAAACTAGGCTTTGATCAGCTCTTGTGAGAACTGACTCACCTATTACAAGGAAAGCATGGGGGAAACTGCCCCTATGATCCAATCACCTCTCACCAGGTCTCTCCTTCCACACATGGGGATTACAATTTGAGATGAGATTTGGGTGGCAACACAGAGCCAGACCATATCATCTGCCATTTGGGGCTGTTTTCATAAGTAAATATTGGGAGACGAATTTAGGAGACGCTATTGCTGGGTCCCATAAAACCATCAAAAGGCCTTGCAGGGGAGACGCTTGTGTAAAGCCAGGGGGAGAATGCTGTGACCCACAGGTCAAACATTAGACAACAGGTGTATGTTGACTGTCTACTCTCTGATCAGTAGAATGCATAAGTGACCTGAATTTTGAGTATAAAAAGGGAAAAGTGTAAAAATGTAGCAAGACTCTGAGCTTCCTTTATCCATCAGGCCCTAGTGAACATAAATACCCATCCCACTTCTCTAACTTCTTTTGATAGTGATTTAGTATAATGATTCAACTTTCTGTTCTGGGCTTCACAGGGCCGTTGTCTTCACCTGTCCCTTTCGTTGAACTGGTGGTGCACCCCCTCAGAGAGCATGTGGGGTAGGGGGCACCTATAATGCACTCCATATGGGCAAACTAAGCTACATCTGCTCTCTCCAAACAACAGTCCATGATGACCCATGCTAGGCCTAGTAGGTCCTCAACTTTTCCGGTTTCTAGAAATTCTCCCTTAGTTGAAGCCTGGAGACTTTCTGCTCTGTGTTGATTACTGCTGAGCAGTTTCTGGTGTCTCAATGGTGCTCCCTGCTGGAGATGCTCTATCATCAGATATACCACCTTTGGCAAGAAGTTGGAGAACTCTCCATCAAGTGTGAACCTGGGCTATTCCTGCTATTCATTACCCTAGAAAGGACTCTGATAAATCATTAAGCTGGCCCTAGGGGGTCTGGTCAAGGCTCAGCTCTTTTATTTTTTGGCATTCGTAATTCCTAAGAGTAGAAGGAATTGTCAGGTGTTGCTCTAATAACAGCCTTAAGCCAGATGCTCCCCATCAAAAACTCTCCCAATAGTGGCTTCTTCAAGAACAGAGTTCAGTACTTACATACATTTAACAAATCTTACTCCTCTCTAATTCACACAGTGTTTTGAAGGGCAGGGGACAGGACTTCTCTGGAGCTCCCAGGGCAAATGCAAGACTCTTAAGGGCCAGGGCACATTTATTAGCATGATCTCCATATCATACCTAACATATTAAAATACATCCCATATCCAGTAATCTTTTTATTTGCTCTTTAAAAATAATTTTGAAAATTATTTTTTAAAACTTTGCTTTATTTATTATTATTTGCATGTAGGTAATTAAGTTACTGTTATCTCCCAGCAATCAAATGCATTCTTGAGAATTTCTGCCAAGTGAGAAAATGTAACATAATTTATTTATAAATGTGTGAAATGTGTATTAATAGTAACAATAAAGTTAACATGACACATGCTGATGTCTAAGCATTTATTAAATTTGATTTTGCATTTTTTTATTTTGATATGTTTTTCCTCGTTTCTTTCTTTCTTTCCTTTTTTTAAAGGGTTTTCAGACCTTTTCAAAAGGTCTCAGACCCTAAGTATCATGTTCTCTAATGGATAAGACTGTACAGCCAATGTTAATCCGCTTCTCAGGTAGGTAACGTTACCTTATACAACTCATAAGCCTAGGTATTAAGTTGGACTATATAAAATTGATGTTTTTTTCTTGTAAAATAAGATCAAACAGAGGCAATTTCACATAATTTAAGCTAATAGTTTATAGTCACTCTATTGTGTTGCTGAACACTGTATATATTATTCCTTTCATCTAACTGGATTTTTGTATTAATCGTCTCCTCTTTATCTCCCTTCCCCACTACACTTCCAGCCTTTGGTAAACTAGTAGTTTTTGGTTACAAATATAACACATTTTCCCCCATGGACACATAGATTTAACTGGTAGAGTTAAGACTAGTAAAAGCAACTGCTGTGCAGGTGGCTGGTGTTCAGCATTTGCTGAATGAATGTATGCACACCTAAGCAAATAACCAAACCAAACATAACAATGTAAATAAGAGTTAAATTGCATGGTACAGACGTGTGGTCATGGACTTGGCAGAATATGTTAACCGTACAAAGCAATTTGACAATTACTTTGAAGTGTTTTAAACCAACATTCTGTTTTAATTTAATTTTGTTTTTTTTAAGAAGAGATTGGCATTGTCTGTGGGAGAAAGCAGTTCTGGCATATTTCACTGTTGACTCCTCATTAGGGAATAAAAAATGGAAACATCATAGGAGTTTAAGAAAGAAAAATTTAAAAATAATTATAGACCTAAGAGAGGAGACTTCAGAAGTTGGTAGGATTTTCATGAAGCATGCTGCTATTTATTAGGCAGCTAAGATTATCTTCAGGGATAGGATCTGAAGGTCCAAGTGTTCTTTTCTTCCACTGGAGCTCAGAGAAGCCAACAGTTCTATTTTTCATGGGGGAAGTCTAGGGCTGGCAATCCTAGAGAAAACAAACGAGTATCAAATCTTAATCATCAATAGGATTTTACTTTGGGTCCATCCACCCATCCACTTTTTCACCTTCTTATCCTGTTGCACCACATTGTGCTGTACTGTCTAGGTGCTGGGAATAGAATGCGGTTTAAGGGATAAGGCACATTCTCACACTAGAAAGGGCTATTTATCTTGTATACAGAGAGTCAATGTGATTAGTGCTGGAAAAACAGAGGGAAAGTTCTCAGGGAGCATAGATAGAGAACTGATTCCTGGAGAAATTGGAAAAGGTTTCATCAAAGATATGCAAATTGGCCTGGGTTCAGAGTAGAGGTTTTTAACCCTGGCTAAAGATTAGAATAACCAGTAGATTTTTTTTTTTTTTTTTTTTTTTTAATTCAGAAAACAAAAAACCCATGCCCAGTTAGGATCTACCATAGCTACTTTTGTTTAATTGGCTTAGGATAGACATCCGTTTTGTTTTGTATCTTTTTTTTGTCCTTTAAGGAAGTGAACCAGATGAATCCAATGACCAACCTGGTTGAGAACCATTGGTCTAGAAGTAGAAACACACACAAGGAATAAGGGAGAAGGAGGTTCAGTTAGTTGAGGGAGAGAAAGTTGGAAGAATTCCAGGCTAAGTAAATGGTATAGAAAAAGAAAGATGATGTATTACGGTTTTCAATCTCATCATGGGAGTAGGCTAGTATAAATTGGAAACTAGAACATTCTATGTCAAAATGGATGCTTGGAAGATCTACCTTAAGGAAAAATTCAGCAAGAAAATGACTGATGTCTCAGCAAGAAGCTGGTGGGCCATCCTGGGTCATGTTTGAAACGTCAACCAAACAATGCCTAGTGATCTAAGATAATTTTATATATTGGGGAAGGGACCTTGATATTCATTATCTACGAAATACAACATATGGGACCTGAACCAAGAAATTTACATAAAAATCTAGTGCAAGACTGATGAAAATGATGGGACCTCCTAAGAAACAAACTAACCCTAGGAATACATTCATTATCCGGGGAAGATAGGGTTTCCACAGGAAATAATTCTCACCAAAAACTAAACCTGTAATAAAAAATCACTAAGTACTGAAGAATGAATAATGTGCCATGAGAATGAATTGGTAGATTTAGCAGAGAATTGCACTGCAGAAACTATATATACTGGAACAATTTGAAAGAATTCCATGAAGATATATTTAACACGTTGAAAGATATAAAGGTAGGAAAATAATCCAGTAAACTAGACAAGAGAAAAAACAAGACAAAAGAAAATTGAAAAATAACCAAATCAAAATTTTAGAAAAATAATTTTAAAATAATCTCAATAGGTCAGCAAATGGATAGACTATACATAGTTGAATAAAAGAATTGGAAAATTAGAAGATAGAACTAAAGAAATCACAGAGAAATCAGCAGAATATTCTACATAGAGAGAAATAGGTAGAAAATAGAAGTTCCAAGTACCAAGTAGTATAAATTTTTGGAGAGTAAGAATGTTTCTTTGGAATGCAAATAGTAGATTGAGACTTTAGACAAATGAGAGACAGAGTTAGCATACATTTATAAGTCAATTATTCTAAAATTTAAAATAAATTCTAACTTACATATTTTGTCACCACATCGAGTTTCTAAGCCATTTTTAAGAAGTGTAAACAATTCTTAAAATATTAAAAATTTGTACTGCAAGAGATGAAAGTATGGTTGAATGATAAATGAGGCTGTGAATCTTTGCTTTAGGAAGCTACATAATTGTTTTGGAATTTTGTTGCGGGAAATTGTATTTGTTCAAACAATGATTGCCATAGAAAGTTAATCTTACTAGCTAATCTTGTGATATTAACACTTGGACTAAGATCTCACTTATCTATTAGGAGTCTGAATAATTTTACCAGAATGAAAGACTAAGCATAAACTCTTAGTATTAGAAACATGGCTAAAGTCATATTTACTTGTAAGAAGTAAAATAGTTTAATTGAGTCCTATTTGTCTATTATTGTTTTTATTGCATTTGCTTTTGAGGTCTTAGTTATAAATTATTTGTGTAGGCCAATGTCCAGAAGAGTTTTTCCAAGATTTTCCTCTAGGATTTTTATAGTTTCAGATCTTACATGTAAGTCTTTAATCTATCTCAAGTTAATTTTTGTATGCGGTAAGAGAATAGAGATGATTTCTCAAAAAATTTAAAATAGGACTACCACTCAACTCAACAGTCCCACTACTGGGTATCTATCCAGAGGAAAATAAATCTTTATATGAAAAAGACACCTGCACACATATGTTTACTGCCGCACTATTTACAATAGCAAAGTCATGGAATCAACTTTCATGTCCATCAGTGGATGATTGGATAAAGAAAATGTGGTACATATGCACCACAGAATATTATTCATCCATAAAAGAGAATGAAATCATGTCTTTTGGAGCAACATGGATGGAGTGGGAGGTCATTACCCTAAGTGAAATAACCCACAAATAGAAAATCAAATACCACATGTTCTGACTTATAAGTGGGAGCTAAACAATGGGTATGTATGGACATAAAGAAGGAAATAATAGACAGTGGGGACTCCAAAAATGGCGAGGATGGGAGGGGGATGAGGGTTGAAAAATTACCTATTGGGTACAATGTCCACTATTTGAGTGATAGGTACACCAGAGGCCCAAAGCTTACCGTTATGCAATATATCCTTGTAACAAACCTTCACATGTACCCTTTAAATTCATAATACAAATATTTTTTAAACATAAAATAATATGTTTCCTTAGAATTAACTTTAAAATACAATACAGAATCTCAGTTTTTAAAAACACCAATACAGTTAAAAGTGCAAAATAAAAATCTAGTGAATATCATTTATATAAAATTTAAAAACATACAAAACAATATCACATATTTTTCATTGGTACATATTTAGTACAAGCACAAAAATATGAACTGGAAAGATACATACAAACTTAGTGAAAATGATTGTATCTGAGCAGTAGAAGAGAGAAAAGGCAATGGAATTTTTTTAGGGGGGCAGGGATGTGGTACAAAGTAATTAATTGGACGCATTATTGTTGCTTCCTAAAAAAGGTTTTGAAGTATATATGTCTATGTCTTTACACACAAACACATATATATGCACAGTATATAATATATACATTTATATAAAGTATATATGATATATATGTATTAACCGTCATCAATTCTAGATAGTGAATACCTGGATGCTTGTTATATTTCTGTAAACCTTACATAAGAATATTTTTATAATTAAAGAGTAATACAATAATTATAATTTATTTATTTATAATTCTATTTTAATATATACAAGTAGAATATGTTAAATGACACATAAAGGCTGATTTACCCATTTTCACTATTCACTCAACCCTTATCCTCTGTTTATATAAATAATCTAGAGATTTAGTACAAATTAATTCAAGAGCTAGTTTTCAAATTAAATAACCCCAAAGTACATATTTTTGTCTTTAATCACATCAAATAAATAGTCCTCACCTTCAGAAACTTTTTGTTTACTGATTTCACAGGCAATTCCCTCAAATTTGAATGGGCAGGTACACAAACACTTTCCATCCATTAGAATTGCTGTACCTCCATTTTGGCATGAGTGGCATTTTCTTACACTAAATTCATTGATATAGTCTTCAATGGCTCTTTCCAAGTTTTGTTTCTTTAGGTGTGCATTTTTCATTTTCACTGGAACCAGATTATATATAGGAGACAGCTGTAAGGAAGCAAAACATTTAATTTTAGGTCCTTTTTAACTGAGAGAGCTTGTAGAATACACTTTACTTAATTATTCATTCACTGATTCATTAATTCAACAAAGGCTTATTGAATGTATGTTATTGCCAGATGTGATGTTAGCTTTTAAATAATCAAAACTAGTCAAGATGTCTGCTATCAGGAGAACATATTATGGAGTTAAGGACACTGATATTAATAAAATAATGATGCATAAATTTCAAATAGAAACTGTGATAGGTGCTACAAAAATACAGGTATTATGTGTGCTTTAAAAATGAACAACTGAGGGACTTAAACTTCTGGCTTAATAATTTATTGACATATTATTTTGTGAATTGTTTTTGCTGCCTTATTCCTCCTCTTCCAGAAGGTAACCAGATGCTTGCTATCTCTTGCCTAAGAGGAGGGTTGTGTGCAATGCCAATGCCAAGTCCAGAATGACCCTGAAGGCAGCCTTTTTCTTATTTCTTTCTTGGTTGTTTTTTTTTTTTTTTTGTCTCTCTAAAAGTCTAAATTCATTGAGAAATTTTTGCTGGGGAAAGAATATAGAAGAATGTCACCAAGGAAAGAGATTCATCCAGAATGGAAAGGGTATAGAAGTTAGTACATACCTCAAATAACAGGAAACCATAGCTAGATATTTAGCAGTTATTTGGGGAGATAACAGGACCTGTGGGGTGCCTTAAAGAAGCTGCATATGAAGTATCAGGAATCCAGTCTTGTCAGTGATTTCTATTTGCAAGCCTGGCATGGAGGGCTTGGAAATATTTGACTTCTAGTGAACATGTGAGCCTGAACAATAAGGTTATTAAGGTGACTACGATGAACTAAAGACTTATGTAAATTATATCTCCATTTCCCAGACAGAAGTGTCAGGATTCTTGTACCAATTTAGACAACAGGGAAAAAATTTCCTGAGCCCCATCCAACAAATAAACAAAAGGTGAATTGTCTAGCAACCTGGAGGAACAGGATCTTAAAATCAAATTAAATTAGATGTGAAGAAAATGAAGTAAAATTATTTATTTGGCACACTCAAATTCCTGCAGTAAGATATACAGTTGCTACACTGAAATCAAGGAAGTTTGGAAAGCTTTGTCAATAAATATTGAGCTGAGATTTGAAGGTGTCAAGGCAGACAGAAGACTATTCCAGGCATATAGTAAAGAATTTTGGAAGTTTTTAAAGAGGAGGAAGTTGGGAAGATGTTGTTCCAAAGATACAAAATTTTAGTTAGATAGAAGCAGTAAGTTCAGAAGATCTATTGTGCAGCTTGATGATCATAGAAAAAAATTAAAAAGTTCTTATAATGGAGATAGTATAACATATATAGGGAAATTTATATGTTCACTTAATTTAAGCAAATTCAATTGAGTAACTAGCAAGAGCTGTTTGAGTGAATAAACTGTTAGAAATAGAGGCACTTTGGTGGCAGAGCACTTTAAAACAAGAGACCACAAAACTTAAAAGAAATAAAAATCTAAAGAGCCCAGAGCCAAAAAGAAAAAAAAAACCCAAAAAACAAAACAACAACAACAACCACCACCACCCACAAATTCCTGCAAAAGAGTAATGATGGATTGATGGATTAAATAATATGGACTCATCTTTCTCATCTTTTCCCTAAAGACAATGAGAAAAGCTAAACAAAATAAAACCAAACTTTTTTTTAAAAAAACTGCTAAAAGACCCTGGAGAACTAACAAGAAAATAAAAAATCACAGAGCTAAGATCTGGGAGGAGGTGGAAATCCAAGAGTTGGGCCCAGTATTCCAGGGCTACTAGTCCTCTTGACACATTTCCTAACTCAGCAAGAGGTAGTAGAGGGACTAGGAGGTAGAGGAACACATTACTGGGCTGAGGAGAAAACATTGGAATTCAGGTCAACCAAGGTAGACATGCTATCCCTTGATTTGGGGATTAAGAGGGAAGTGGAAGTAGGATAGCTCTGGCAGAAACTGTAGCCCAGTTTGGATTAAAATAATCTTGGATCATTAATGGGGATCCTAGAAGCTTTTCAAACATAAATATATATGTTTGGAAGAATATATGAATATACAAAATTATCCCAGGCATCAGGCTACTCCTATAACAATTTTAAGTACAGTATTTAGCCCACAGTAAAAATAGCTAGGCACACAAAGAAATAAGACAACACGAATGAGACCAATGGAAATAATGGAAAATAGAAACAGCTATGGTGGCTGCCAATGTTTGTGCTATCAGACGTCAAACAATTATCAGACTTTAAACCAACTGTTTGCATAAATAGGGAGATAAGAGACAAGACGGAAAATTTTAGTAAAGAACTGGAAGTTATTAAAAATAGATTTAAAAAAAGAAACAAATATTAGAACACAAATTAATGAATTAAACAGCAAATGTGATAAAACTGAAGCAATTTAATGAATTGCAATATAGGTAAGAAGAAAATATTGACAATAAAGCATGAAGTGACAAAAAGATGGGATATAGAGAAAGAGGGCAGGAAACATAAGTGATAGTGTGGGAAGGGAAAAGATCCATGTATTTTGAGTCCCAGAAGGAGAACAAAGGACAGAATAAATAAGAAGCAATATTTGAAAAGCTAATGACTGAGAGTATTCCAGACCTGGTAAAAAACAACAATAAATCTTATGAATAAAAACTAAGGTTAAAAATTATTTTGCACCTAGGTATTATCAGAGAAAAATTGCTTAAAAAAAAAAAAAAAGACAGCAGAGAAAATCTTAAAAACAGTTTAGTAAAAGGTCTGAGTATTTTGAAAGTAGACTGAATTTGACTTTACTAGATACAATCAACAATATTATAAAGAGTCAAATGGAAATATAAAAAGTAAAAAGCATGGTAAAAGAGATGAAAAATATCTCTGATGAGTTTGTCAGTAGATTTGACACAGCAAAAGAAAGAATCAGTAAGCTTGATAAAAGGTTGGTAGAAATTAGCCAAATTAAAGTACAAAGAGATGAAAGAGTTGAAGGGAGGGAACCCAGAAATAAGCATCCAAGAGTATGGGGCAATATGAAAGAGCCTAGCACATGCATAACTGGAACCCTCGAAAAAAGTGAAAAGGTTAGAAGAAGGGGTTGACAGGGGGAGAGAACGAGAATGTGATTGTGGCAGAGGAAATATTTGAAGACATAATGACCAAGAATTTTTCAAAAGTAATTAAATAATCAAAACATAGACTCCAAAATTTAGGGAACTTCAAGCAGAATAAAAAATAAACATCCGGGGGGGGCAGAGCAAGATGGCCGAATAGGAACAGCTCCAGTCTCCAACTCCCAGCGCAAGCGACACAGAAGACCGGTGATTTCTGCATTTTCAACTGAGGTACTGGGTTCATCTCACTGGGGAGTGCCAGACGATCAGTGCTGGTCAGCTGCTGCAGCCCGACCAGCGAGAGCTGAAGCAGGGCGAGGCATTGCCTCACCTGGGAAGCGCAAGGGGGAAGGGAATCCCTTTTCCTAGCCAGGGGAACTGAGACACACAACAACTGGAAAATCAGGTAACTCCCACCCCAATACTGCGCTTTAAGCAAACAGGCACACCAGGAGATCATATCCCACACCTGGCCGGGAGGGTCCCACACCCACGGAGCCTCCCTCATTGCTAGCACAGCAGTCTGTGATCTACAGGCAAGGCAGCAGTGAGGCTGGGGGAGGGGCGCCCGCCATTGCTGAGGCTTAAGTAGGTAAACAAAGCTGCTGGGAAGCTCGAACTGGGTGGAGCTCACAGCAGCTCAAGGAAACCTGCCTGTCTCTGTAGACTCCACCTCTGGGGACAGGGCACAGTAAACAATAACAAACGAAGCAGAAACCTCTGCAGACCCAAAGGACTCTGTCTGACAGCTTTGAAGAGAGCAGTGGATCTCCCAACACGGAGGTTGAGATCTGAGAAGGGACAGATTCCCTGCTCAAGTGGGTCCCTGACCCCTGAGTAGCCTAACAGGGAGACATCCCCCACTAGGGGCAATCTGACACCCCACACCTCACAGGGTGGAGTACACCCCTGAGAGGAAGCTTCCAAAGCAAGAATCAGACAGGTACACTCGCTGTTCAGAAATATTCTATCTTCTGCAGCCTCTGCTGCTGATACCCAGGCAAACAGGGTCTGGAGTGGACCTCAAGCAATCTACAACAGACCTACAGCTGAGGGTCCTGACTGTTAGAAGGAAAACTATCAAACAGGAAGGACACCTACACCAAAACCCCATCAGTACATCACCATTTTCAAAGACCAGAGGCAGATAAAACCACAAAGATGGGGAAAAAGCAGGGCAGAAAAGCTGGAAATTCAAAAAATAAGAGCGCATCTCCCCCAGCAAAGGAGCACAGCTCATCGCCAGCAACGGATCAAAGCTGGATGGAGAATGACTTTGACGAGATGAGAGAAGAAGGCTTCAGTCCATCAAATTTCTCAGAGCTAAAGGAGGAATTACGTACCCAGCGCAAAGAAACTAAAAATCTTGAAAAAAAAGTGGAAGAATTGATGGCTAGAGTAATTAATGCAGAGAAGGTCATAAACGAAATGAAAGAGATGAAAACCATGACACGAGAAGTACGTGACAAATGCACAAGCTTCAGTAACCGACTCGATCAACTGGAAGAAAGAGTATCAGTGATTGAGGATCAAATGAATGAAATGAAGCGAGAAGAGAAACCAAAAGAAAAAAGAAGAAAAAGAAATGAACAAAGCCTGCAAGAAGTATGGGATTATGTAAAAAGACCAAATCTACGTCTGATTGGGGTGCCTGAAAGTGAGGGGGAAAATGGAACCAAGTTGGAAAACACTCTACAGGATATCATCCAGGAGAACTTCCCCAACCAAGTAGGGCAGGCCAACATTCAAATCCAGGAAATACAGAGAATGCCACAAAGATACTACTCAAGAAGAGCAACTCCAAGACACATAATTGCCAGATTCATCAAAGTTGAAATGAAGGAAAAAATCTTAAGGGCAGCCAGAGAGAAAGGT